CTTGATTAAACACTACTAGGTTTAGGTGGGAAAAAGCATCGAATTGGACAGAGTAAAACATGGCATTAGTTTTCTACTGTTGGTCTGACTCCTGTAGAGAAATGTAAACTTCTCGGTTGGGGTCGGTATGGTTCAGAATCGATATCAGTGGCGCAGATATATCCACAGATTATCTTCATCTTAATTATCATACTGAATGCTTGCTCTATTTTACTGCTTTTTAGCAACTTGAACCGTTATGCAGTAATAGCTACTCCTATATTGATATTTATGATGATGATGATGGTGTAAAGTAATCAGCTTCTAGTAAAATCTATTACATATCTCCCATCCTATTTGACCCTCTGTTTTAGTTATTGTCAGAATTCCCAATTGAAATAGATAATAACCTATCATACTGTCTTATGTAAACCGAAACCTTCGTGTTGGTTGTAAATGTTATCTCTGATGAAAAAGTACTGCACCCAGTGGGGGCAATTCACAAAATATGCCCACTGTTAACCTATAATGAATAGTGATGCTGACTTCTCAAGTAAATATAAGCTACACAGACTGTAGACATATACTATTAAAAGTAATACAATATTATCTCAATGAAACATACCACTGAATGGTTAGGTCATAATGTCTATCTCCCATTGGTTCACCATTAGGCTCGATATTAGATGATTTTTTTCTTACTAAACTTGAGAATGAGCCACTGAAAGATGTTATCAATAACCTGCATATGTATAAACGTTATATTGGCGACACTTTCATCGTCCTCGATCAAAACGTCGACAAGAACGAATTGTTATGAAAATTCAATGGGTGTATCCTTCTCCCACTTTCACTTGGGAAGAAGAACAAGAAAATATGCTACTTTTTTTAGATGTCGTATTGATTAGAAGAGGAGATGGGTCACTCAATAGAAGGGTGTACAGAAAGATAACGTCTACGGGTCAGTACATACATTTCCTTAGCTTTGTGCTCATTTGATATAGACGAAGTCTAATTAAATGTCATGCAAACAGAGCCAGTAGGATCTACTCCGATGACTTGATACAAAAGGAGTTAAAACATATCCATAATATACTACTAGAAATGGGTTACCCCCATAGTTTTATCAAAAGACACATGAACAGAATAAGTAATAAATCTGATCAAATGGTTGTCCGAAAGAAATCAATATTCATGAAGCTCCAATTCAGAGGGGATACCTAGTGGAGTTCTATTCTACAGGCTATCTACAGCCATCAGAGGAACCTTTTATGCTGCTAACCCCTGCTTATCATTTCCTAGTTGGCCAATAATTGTTGCCCAGACAAAAGAAAAGGTATTTAGTTCTGCCATTTCGATGTGTATTTATCAATTTAACTGCTCCTGTGGAGAAAGCTATATTGAGCATACAACTAGGCAGCTTAACAAACGTGTTACTGAGCACCTACCGTTATGGCTAGGAAAGAGACAAGTGAAGTCAATACGAAGTTCAATTCTGTCACATTTATTCGATAGTGGTCACGTAATAGACAAGACCAAAGCGTTCAAGATCATCTATCGCATTCCACAAAATCTCTCAAACAGAATTTGCACCCGCATTTTGTATATAGCTTAGGCTATGGGAATTAGAGAAAACAAACCTAGTCTTTGTATGCAAAAAAGTTTGTGCAGTCTTTATCTCTGCCTTGGCTAGAGAAAACCTGACAAATATCTGTATATAAATTCAATTTTCATCCCCTTCCCCTTTCTTCCTCCTTTTTCATACATGTTTACTTATTTGTTTAGACTTCGATTATCTACACATTTCATCCTTTAGTATTACGTAACTTTTATTTTTCTAAGTTGTGATCTCCATTGTTTGTTTGGATATTGGATGCCTAGCGCCTCAACAAACTTAAGTATACGCCCCTGACAGTTTCTGTACAAAATTGTAAAGGCTGTCTTGATATCACTTCTGTGACTCTTATCAATGATATGTTTCGCAATGGATGATGATGGTTGTCTGCCATCTGCGCTTATCAATGTTTGTGAATCCAGCTGCTTTCGTAGCCACTTTGGAACATGTTCCCCTACCCTCAAGTGCATATCACGATTCGTCCTCCCTATGTATGTTTGTCCACACACACATGTAAATTTATAAACGCAGTGGGATGTGACACAATCGTTTATACAGCGTTGAGGTCTGGATAGCAGCAGGTGTTTGGTCTTCTCAACTATGATAAGCTTAGCTGCATAGTAAGTTTTGCTAACATTAGGCCTTAACATTTGTTGTAATATTATGATGTTAGATTCTCCTCTGCATGGTAACGCGATGTAAACGCATTTCTTCGAAACAGAGTAATAGATCAGGTTTGAATCCTCGCTGATTTTTGCAGCGATTTATGAACTTCAATGGATATCCATTTTCCACTAATGTTTCCGTTAGTATTTTGATATCATCATCCATTGAGTCCTCCGTACAAATACGCTGGATCCTTTTAAATAGACAAGTTACCAAACCTCGCTTGTATTGGATTGGACAAAAGCTATGGAAACTTAAATACTGACCTGTCCAAGTAGGTTTCCTGTAGATCGACCACCATTTCTACGACTTAGGAGTATATCCATGAATGGCAGACGGTTTTCTTTTTCTTCACTTGTCAGGCTTATGTTGTTTTGTACGTTGTTAAGTCTTCCTAACAAACATGTCGCATCTTCATGCTTATCACATATCACGATTATACCATCAACATATCTTTTATAGAGGGTAACTTTATTGATGGGATCGCCGGTCAAGCCCTCAATGTGTGACATGTAAATATCAGCTAGCAATGGTCCTAAGGGACTTCGCATAGCCACACCATCTATTTGTCGACAATGTTCACCTTCAAATGTGAAATGAACTTTATCAGTACACAATAATAACAGGTCTCTCAAACACGTTGAGGGGATAGGGTAAGAAGGATTACTGGAAGATATATGATCACAAAGAATGTCAATGGTTTTAATTAGGGGTACACTAGTAAATAAGGAGTTGACATCAAATGAATACAACCTCTTATCTTTGATATTAATATCACTGACATAATTAACAAGTTCAAAAGTATCTTTTAAAGAAAACTTACATAAATCATTTCGAATAGGAATTAGAGTTTTTGCTAACCATTTCGCCACTTTATGTGTAGGTGAACGGAACATGGAGAGTATAGGACGTAAAGGATTATCTGTTTTATGAATTTTAGGCAATCCATACAGATTAGGTAGCTCAGACCCCATTGGTTTGAGGGAAGCAAATTGTTCCTTGTTGATAACATTGATATTCAAGAGTTTTACCAGACTAGATGTTACTTTGCATTCTAATTTTCTAAGGTCGTCTGATGGAACATCAGCCGTAAATTTACTTTCGTGGCTAAGGATGGACATCATCTTGTTTTTGTAATCATATTTTTCCATCACAAACAAGATTGTCTTCAAGTCTTATCTTCTATTCCTCTCATTATCTTCCTTATTATTGAATTCCTTTATGTCATATGTGTCCTTCCCCCACTTCCAGTTTTCACATATGATGCCTTAACAAGTAAATGTGTGGGGGATCAGATTGTTCGAAATGTATAGCGCTAATACATCACACAGTTTGTTCAGATAATCTACGTCTTCTAATTACATTATCCAAATTCATAAAAGGGACTAATTGTTTCATATTACAATTATGATTGTCTATTTGCCTAGTTCATTTACTAACTACCACAGAGCAAATAATCCACCATGACTGGTTTAATGTTTTATATATGAGAAAATTTATGTATATTAGCGTAAAGCCTGATAAAAGCTAATTGAAAACAATGTTCGCCTTTATATCATCTAATTTTGACAATAGGTCATAATGTCTATCTGCAGGTTCTACTACTCTGTTTGTGATGATTTATGCACAGGATATCTGGTCAGTTAGCTTCTAATCAATTAATTTTTAACTTATTCAAATCTTTATTTGCCAGTCTACCATGTATCATTTTAACGTGGGTCGATCTTCAAATAAAGAAACAGTTTTCCCAGAGATTGTGAAACCAGGTGGTATTGAAAATGCTGAATAGTTGGATAGTTGTTGAGTTCTGTCTTAGAACTCCTCAGCAATGTACGCTCATAACCTCACGAGGGATCGAGATCAGGATCGCAATGTCTGATGATGAGTACTCTGCCATTTAACCGCTGGGTTTAAATCTAGTAGTCGACTTTTTCAACTTTTGTCGATTCACGATAGAACCCGACCATTACTCAGTGTCAACTATGAGAGTTGTCCGCCTTTGTTCAGGTAAAACTTAGAGTAGTGGTATGTGTATGTAAGTAATTCTCTCACTGATAATTATGTAAGGCATCTGAGTGTATCAGAAAATCAAATATTTTCAGGTTGGTATTCATCACGGAATGACATCATTTGGTGAACCGTTGGAAACCTTGAAGTCACTGGACGAAGGTTGCGCTATATCGCGAATTGACAAACGTAAGGAAATGTCGCTGGTCGTGAAACCTGAAGGTCCTAAATTCGACCACTGGTATGGGTTTTGGGTACGCACTACTGAGGGATCCCATGTATGGATGGAACAGCTGTCAAATGCTCCCAGGTTTTCAATCATTCTCCAACTGATATCACCCTATGATGTATACAAACTTGAAATCAATAAATCCTCACAAAACTTTCACAGCTAAGGTAATGGACACGATAGTCCATTAGATACTAGTTTCATGATATTTCTTCGCTTTATCAGCCTTTCTTCTCAGTCTTTCTTTAGCTAATAAGGCAGCGTTATGCAACTTCATCGATAACTTTTATGTAACTTTGACCGGTGGCTCATTCATTGTTTTCAGTACAAAACATTGAAGCAACGGTTCTCTGGTTCCTCAATCCCATTCACATACTTGTACCCAAACAACCAGACAGTCTTATAAATCCTCACACAATATATATGGCACGTAGACATTACATTATTGATTATTACAGCTTTAACTGTTGCCTATTTTCTCTTCTTTTTTCTTTAATCTTTCAGATTGCTGAAGCCTTGAATTTTTTACACTGTGATTGCCATCGTGTACACTTGAATTTGACGCCTGAATCTGTTGTAATCAATCGTTTTGGTATTTGGAAACTTTGTGGATTTGAATTTTCACAAGTGTTTAATCAAGAGGAGAAATGTGAACAATCAATTGTTAGATTGCCTACCTGGCAGTCAAGTTTAATGCCTACATGTCAATTGAATCTGAGTGCTAGTAGCCCAGAGGCAATTTTACAGGTAAGAAGAAATCGTTAAGATAATCTTGATTCTTGTTTTCAATCTCATGTTTAGTCTACTCTAATCTCTTATATCTCCACCTCATCTTTGTTCAGTTTAGCTGATGATTATATTGTTTAACACGTCTGTAACGAGAGTAAGTTGTCATTGTGTATGAGAGAGGATAAGAGATATAGAAGCAGTTCAACTTATGAATGTACACTTATTTAAAAGGAAAATGAGGGACTATATCTCTCTAACCAGATGTAGAGTTTGAGGCAGAGGAGAAAAGTCAGTTGGTGTGGTTGTGAACCTTCATCAACTGAGATGGCTGGGACATATGTTATGTGTGCCTAGTGACCATATGTTGGTTGAAGCAGGTTCACGCTGGAAAAAGATTAGCAGAGACCAGACTTAAATATCGTATCAATGCATAAAGTCTTTGACTGTTGATCTGAGGCGTGTAGGTGGATACAGACTAGCCGGTTGGGGAGGGGGGAGGTCTACATGAAATTAAAAACCAGTGGCTGAAGAATCTAGGCTTAGGATCGGTGTCAGGGACACAAATGTATCTTATCTCTTCTCAATCTTAATCGCTATGCTGATCGATTTTTCTTTCTTTCTCATCTTTCATCTTATGTCCTTGTAACTTGATTTGTTGATGTTATGCGTGGCAACCTTAACCGTTGCGCAGTTCTGGCTGGTCTTATGTTGATATTGGTGATGATAAAGGTGTTGATTGTCCTCTTAGGGGTATTACACTCACTTTATTGCATAGTTATAAATATTGCCTTTGTGGGGATTGTGTTTACCATCAATTTTAGTCAAGTACCAACAATCTTCCTAACAACCTGGTCTAAAATACTTGGTTCTATCTTCAGATATCTCTGAAACTTTGTTACAATTGGTATAGAATCATGGCACGCACATCTAAACCTACTGTTTACACATTTCCAAAAGTTCCTCTTTCTTCAAAACACAATAGAATTGTGAAAAATAGATGTGTGTTGTTTCCTTGATATTGTAGGCTTTTGATATCATGATATTAAAATTCCTATCTTCACCTCTTCTTTACAATCAACCGTGTACAAAAGGTCGTTTCTGGCTTTTCAGTTGATGTACATAAACATGATAGAGCTGTAGATCATTGGTTTATTGGGATGACTCGCAGTTAGTGAGTCACGGGTTCGAACTCCGCTCCACTAGCTTGAGAAGCCAGATAGTAACTTCATTAGCTCATTGCCTGCTCCTGAGTGGATTTCAATTTCTACATAAACATGATTATAGGTTAGAATTTTATCGTAGACTAGAAATCTGAGAGCAATGGACACCTGTTTCGTTCTAGTACGGGACTCAGCAATTGTGCGCCCATGACCTCGCCAGAGGTAGAACCCAGAACTTTCAGGTTTCGCGGATAGCACGTTACCGTTGAGGCACTGGGTCGGAATTCTATGGTCTTATTCCATACTTTTGTCAGTCAGCTCACTATATAGTGCGGTCTACATCCAATGCCGTTGTTGAGTAACTGTTCACATGTTCGACTTGGTAACAACTTTTTATTGGAACTTCAGAAATCATCTCTCGAAGCTAGTCACTAATAAGCGCTAGATTCATTTTTGATTTTGAGGTTTGTGGAGATTTATTAATTGATTTTAGGTTGAAATTCATCATGGACTGGCATCAGTTGAAGGAACATCGAAAACGTAAGAGCACTGAACAACTGTTTCGTCCTAGTATGAGACTCCTCAGCAGCGCGCACTGTCGACCTCACTAGGATTTGAACCTACTACCTTCAGGGTCCATGGTCAAGACGTTACCACAAAATCTCCAGATAGAATAAACATGATTAGTTGGCGAATGCTAATAGCTTTCATCCAAGTTAATCCTGTTTCAGTGAACATTGTATATCAAGGTAAATAATGATTCAACGTGGTCAATACACTTGTCCAAACCACCTTAGTTGATGAAGATTCGTAACCTCATCGACTGACTTACCGTGCTTGCCTATTACTCTACATCTACCCTGAACCAATTCATTGTACATTTGTTTTTTTTGTATAGACTAATTCTTTTACCAGTTATTATGACTATGGATATTATAATTCATAGGATATATTCAATAATAATACTAATATTTCTTTCAATCGATAAAGTAAAATACTTCCACCCTACTCACTCCCGTTCACTTTATTATTGTTTGCTTTTATATACGTTAGCGAAGTTTATGCATATCCTTATATTCATGTAGTTTTTGTTTGCACTCACTGTTCTATTGATTTATTCTTGGAGAATATATCTTGTTTAGTCTGTTTAAATATTGATTTCTTTTTGGAGGGGGGGTGGGGTGGCGGGGGGGGGGTTATTAATTTGTCAATCAATTAGTAGGGATTGGAGTCTATGTGTCCATCGTAAATCTTCATATAGAGTAGACTAACTTGTAATATTGAATTAATTAACTGGTAAATAATAGTTATACCCTTTTTTTTAATGTTATACTTTCTACAACGATGTATTCAGTAGCGTTTAATGTTTTAATGCTTTCTAACGTAAACATTACTTCATGTCTTGAGAATTTGGTAGAAGTTCAAATGTATCAGTTATGATTCACTGAATTGACATATGGCCTCTTATACGGGTGCTTCGATATTGTCTAGAAATTGATCAAGGTATAATTTACTTGTTGGTGGTTAGCAGGACACATGTTCTATCATTCATTGAGATATTAGTACATCCAATTGATGACTTTCATGCAGTTTATAACATCGAAGATTTCAGGTTTGCTGAAAGGTATATCAATCAGTTGTTAATCTAACATCAAGCTGGCGTACATTATTATTATTATTATTATTATTATTATTATTATTATTATTATTATTATTATTATTATTTGTCCCTTGGGTTCCTAGTAGAACATGAGGCTTTGTTCGCACGTCCCCATTGCACTCTTCTCTGCAGTCTTTTAAACCTGACTCCATCACTGTCCATAACCTTTAATTTCTTCCGCACACCATCTTCCTCCATGTCACTCTCAGCTGGGACACCCAACTTACAGTTTCCCATTTCGATTCCACTCGGCGGCATGGCCTGACCTGTCCCCAAACCATCTTCTCAGTGTATGCTCAATCAAATCCATTTCCACTTCCTTCTACTGCATATTTTGTGGAAAACAGTTTCTTGGTTGGTTCGTTGCCAGAGTTCCTTGTTGCTTATTCTTTCTCGCCATCTGATCTTCAGTATCGAGTGAGCGTTTGGCAACAGCTGTTCATGTGATGCATGTCTGCAGTTTGTTGGAAGTGCTTTTCGTAATGCCCAAAGTCTCCGAATCATATAGAAGCACTGACTTCACTGAATTGGTGTTGGAAATCCGGATATTGTTCACGCTTTATGCTGAGTGCAGTTCAGTTCAGTGTAGTAGATCTCCAAACTGATTGATTTCAGATTAATGCAGGAAAGCCTGTCTTGCTGTCTTTCCGATCCTGGCTGCTGTGACATCGTTATCTGTGCCTGTGCTGACTGTAGTTGAAACGATGCTGCCCTGTCTATGTAGGTAGTTGTAGGTGAAGGAGACTACTTCCTTCAGATTTCTCCTGTTCATGGTGATTGGTGCCTCTTATTGTTCGTGCTGTTGTTGTTTGGGTATCTTCATCACCTTTGTCTTCTCTACGTTCACCTGAAGAAGGTCCCGTCTTCATTCGAGGCCTCGCCTCACCTCACCTCTTCTGCCAACTCGTTGGTTTTCGCCTGTAGATTTTCGAGTTTGTGGAACATTAGACATCATAAACCATCGGCGAAATGCAAATCTTCTAGGGTCTTTTCATCGGTCCAGCCAGGATATGCTCCTCTTCTCCCTCCTCACAGTTTGTTGCATGATCCAGTCGACCACAATCAGGAATATTATGGGTGATAGTATGTGGCAGTCCTGTCTTACTCCTGTCTTCACTTGAAAGTCATCACTGAGTTTTCCATTGTGAATCACTTGTCATGTGGCGTTTTCATATAGCTGTTGAATGAGATTGATAAAGGTTTGTGGCAGTAAACCCGTAGTGTTGAAGCAGCTGCCAAATTACTTGTTGGTCGACTGTGTCGAAGGCCTTTTCAAAGTCGATGAAGTTGAGATAGAGAATTGACTGCCATTCTATACTCTGTTCTATGATGATGCGTAACGCTGCAGTTTAATCCCCACATGAATTGTTCTTCCTGAATCCAGCCTGTTCCGGTGGTAATTTTGAATCCACCGCATTGTTTAGTCTCTTTCTCCAGGATGATGCTGCTTAATATTTTGCTTGGGGTGGACAGGAGCATACATACTGTTACTGTTTAACCCGGATTTAAATCACTAGCTTAAACATTCGGCTTTAACCACTACATCATAAGGACCTAAAATCTTCTGATGGTTGAACAACAGGGTGTTATCGTAAAAATTCACTGGGCCTGTGGTTGGCAGAAAATGCATGTTTAATGATAGGGAGTGAAGCCGTGGGATGTATTGATCACTTCACTTACTGACTCGTTGCAGACGAAGTTTCAGTTTTGATACAGAAGGTCCGTTTGATATTTTCGCCGGCCGGCGAGATATCCGGCCATCTATCAGAAGAAGAGTATGCTACGCTGTGGTCAGTTCTGTCCTGTTGTACGGCTGTGAGACATGACCGTTGAAAGTAGAAAACATGAAGCGATTACATGGTTTTAATCATAGATGTTTTCGAGGCACTGCTCACGTTTGGTGTAATCAGCATGTGAGCAGTGTTGAGGTAAAGTGAATAGCACTAGGCAAAACTGGCAAGTGGATTGATGAGGCTGTGAACCTTCATTGACTGAGATGACTTGGACGTGTGCTGGGCACATCAAGCCACCACCCACTTCGATGTGTTTTGCTGCGGGAAGTTTGATTAGGTCGTAAGACGATTCAGAGTGGTCAGCCGATAAAGTTTATAACCGTTGATCTGAGCCATATGAGGAGATATAGACTATTTGACTGGGGTCCCCGAAAGGAAAGGAATCAATGTTTGAGAAATCTTGGT